CTCAACACAACGTTCCTTCTTTTGTTCCAGTTCCTGGTTTCTATCATGCAAAGCAACTATCTCTGCATCCTTCTCCTCCACACAACGTTCCTTCTGTTGTTCCAGTTCCTGGTTTCTCTCATGCAAAGCAACTATCTCTGCATCCTTTTCCTCAACACAACGTTCCTTCTTTTGTTCCAGTTCCTGGTTTCTCTCATGCAAAGCAACTATCTCTGCATCCTTCTCCTCAACACAACGTTCCTTCTGTTGTTCCAGTTCCTGGTTTCTATCATGCAAAGCAACTATCTCTGCATCCTTTTCCTCAACACAACGTTCCTTCTTTTGTTCCAGTTCCTGGTTTCTCTCATGCAAAGCAACTATCTCTGCATCCTTTTCCTCAACACAACGTTCCTTCTTTTGTTCCAGTTCCTGGTTTCTCTCATGCAAAGCGACTATCTCTGCATCCTTCTCCTCCACACAACGTTCCTTCTGTTGTTCCAGTTCGTGGTTTCTCTTATGCAAAACGACTATCTCAAAATGTTTCACCTCAAGACAACGCAACTTCTCTTGTTTCAGTTCCTGGTTTGTCTTTTGCAAGGCAGCCATCTCTGCATCCTTCTCCTCAACACAGGGTTCTTTCAGTTGTTTGAGATCCTGGTTTGCCTTTCTCAAGGTGGCCATCACTGCTTTGTCCTTCTCGTGCATCTTGAGGAGCTTTCCATATTTCATGTTCAGTTCCTCATTGTTTCCGCGCAAGACTTTCTGCTCAAATTCCAGGGTATTCATTTTCACATTGTGCCTCACTTCTGGTTCCACTTTCACCTCCACAACCTCTTTCTTGTCCACCTTCGCCTCCTCCACCACACAACGTTCCTTCTCTTGTTTCAGTGTTTGGTTTTCCTTCAGCAAAGCAGCTATCTCTGCATCTTTCTCCTCAACGCAACGCAACTTTTGTTGTTTGAGTTCCTGGTTTGTTGTTTGCAAGGCGGCCATCTTTGCCTCCTCCTTAACACAACGCTCCTTCAGTTGTGTGAGTTCCTGGTTTCTATCACGCAAATCAGCTATCTTTACAGCTTTGTCAACACAATGATCCTTTTGTTGTTGGAGTTCCTGGTTTCTCTCACGCAGAGCAGCTATCTCTACAGATTTCTCCTCAAGACAACGCTCCTTTTGTTGTTTGAGTTCTTGGTTAGTATTTTGCAAGGCGGCCGTCTTTGCATCTTTCTCCTCAACACAACGCTCCTTCTCTTGTTTCACTGTTTTGTTTTCCTTCAGCAAGGCAGCTATCTCTTTATCCTTCTCCTCAACACAGGGTTCTTTCAGTTGTTTGAGTTCCTGGTTTGCCTTTCTCAAGGCAGCCATCTCGGCTTCGACCTTCTTGTGTGACCTCTGGAGGTTTCTGTATTTCATGTTCAGGTCCTCATTGTTGACGCGCAAGACGTTCTGCTCAATTTCCTGGGCTTTCACTTTCACATTGTGCTTAAACAGCAAAGCTGATTTCTCTGTATATGCTTTGAGCATCGCTTCCTTCTTTTTAGCGCCTTCAATCTCAAGCTTATCCCTTAAAGTCCTCTCCTGCTCCAGCCACAACTTCATTTCCTGATTTTCTTTTTGCAGAATCTCGAGCTTGACTGCCAGCTCATCTCTATTGTTCATCTCCATCTCTACTGCTGTGACGAAATGACCTGTTGTTTAGCAAACTAAATGTAATTGTTCGACTGAATTAACGTCACAAAAATCCCACAAAAGTTGAGTTCACTTGTGAAGATTATCTCGCTAAAAAACACTGCAAGTATCCCTAATGTTTGCTTGCAACAAAACCTATTTCTGCAATGATCTGACACTAGCTGGACAAATTCCTTCTGCTGCTCTGGTGCTCTGGTGCTCTGATGCTCTGATGAATTCACCTCCTGCAAACTCCGAGAAGATCAATGCAGAATTCAGAATTCTACTTGAAGGCAAAAGATGATGTCATAATTCTGAAGGTTCCATTCCAAATAAAGAGTGAAGGACATCAGCTGACAGGAAGTAAGAATGGAACCATGCTGTTGCCTAGAAACGCAATTGTGTTTAGATAATATAAAGAAATGTAAACAATCGAAATGCTTTATTAATTCCAATGGGAAGTAAGCAACATGTTCTATTATGTTTCATCTTCACGTCAAATGCATATTTTCTACTTTTTAATTTCTATTTTGATATCTTTCAAATTTTTGAAATGTTTATTTCTACTCTTTTAATTTCTAATTATGTGCAATGCCTTGTTTTTTATGCTGCTGCAACGCAAACATTTCCCAATTTGGGATCAATAAAGTACATCTTATCTAATAGGAACCAAAAATACAGTTACGTTGAAGTTGCACTCAATTGCATTTTGATAAAGTGCCATTTTGAATAAAACTTTTTTTTACAGGATTCCCTTCAACACATTAACTTCAATGAAAATATTTCTCTACTAAAATATTTTTTTATGGTGATTAATTGTCTCTTTGTTGTAATTTTCTGTCTCTTTGCAGCTGTTTTCCATCTAATTGTAGGACTCTTTAAAGTAAAGACACTACATACCGATATACACCTGAACATCAGCAGGAGAGGACTCTTTAAAGTAGAGACACTACATACTGATATACACCTGAACATCAGCAGGAGATAGCTCTTTAAAGTAGAGACACTACATACTGATATACAGTACACCCTGAACATCAGCAGGAGATAGCTCTTTAAAGTAGAGGGACTACGTACACCTGAACATCAGCAGGAGAGGACTCTTTAAAGTAGAGACACTACATACTGATATACAGTACACCTGAACATCAGCAGGAGAGGACTCTTTAAAGTAGAGACACTACATACTGATATACAGTACACCTGAACATCAGCAGGAGAGGACTCTTTAAAGTAGAGACACTACATACTGATATACAGTACACCTGAACATCAGCAGGAGAGGACTCTTTAAAGTAGAGACACTACATACTGATATACAGTACACCTGAACATCAGCAGGAGAGGACTCTTTAAAGTAGAGACACTACATACTGATATACAGTACACCTGAACATCAGCAGGAGAGGACTCTTTAAAGTAGAGACACTACACAGATGACATTTTTGTATGGATTTTTTGTCAAAGCACTTAAGATATTCATTGCTATCGGGGTGTTAAGAGCATTCCATGGAATATAACAAAAAGTGTATCTCGAGCCGGTTTCTCAAACTTACCTACCCCACCTTTAAGGGTGTTGATAGGATATCTAAGGGCCCAATGATTTTCCAATAGGATGTTGGTAATTAAGATAAGATAAGATAAGATAAGATGGTACTTTATTGATCCCAATTTGGGAAATTGTTTTTGTTGCAGCAGCATAAAAGACAAGGCATTTTACAATAAAACAAAACTACAAATAAACAAGAATAGAAAGAAAAGAAAAGAAAATAGAAAATATACATGTTGAAATAGAAAACATACATGTAGATATTATGTATACAAATATATATATTCAAAAATATATGACATATGGAATATTAAATATTAAATATTAAATATTGAACAGATTATATATGTGTAAAATGTACAACGTGGTTTTACAATGAAGAAGGCAGGGTATAGTGTTTAATTTTTAATTAGGTTTAATATTTTGTTTTATTGAGGGTCACCAGGCTTATTCCAAGTTAAAAGCCACTCATGGCTGCAGGGGTTCAGGTAGAGGACCTCCAAAGTTACCTTCAGATACAATAAGAAGGTAAGTCTTATCAAAAGTAGAACACTGCTGACCTCTGTTGGCTAAAATTGGAACTGCAGATGAATGGAGGTGTCTGATCTGAAGGAGGCACTAAATAGACAGTGTAAAACAAGCCTGCTGACTTTCATTGCTTTCTCTTTGCCTTCTATAGATTAGCACAGTGGTGTAAAAGTACAAGACATAACTTAATTAAAGATAGCCTTCAAAATATACTCAGAGTCCAAAAATTAAAAGTAGCCTATTTCTGAATAATATTTATATAATATTACTGCACTATGATTATTGATGCATTCATGAGTCTATAGCAGCTGGCATTTTGTATTAGCTAATAATCTGAATATGTAGAACAACTAGTTGCTAAAGCTCTCAGATAAATAATAATAATAATAAATAATATTTATATATAGTGCTTCTCTAGAACTCAAAGACGCTTGTAGCAGAGTTAAGAGTACAACATGTACATCCAAAATGTAGTGGAGTAGTATTCATACCCCTCACTGTTTTTTCATCATTCAATTCATTCTATATTTTATTCTGTAGATTGTGTACATTACTTTTCACTTTACTGCTTTTTGCACTCCTGGTTAGAAGCTAAACTGCATTTCGTTGTCTCAGTACCTGTAATCTGTGCAATAACAATAAAGTTGAATCTAATCTTGAGCAGGAACAAATGTATTTACTTAGTACATATCTGACATTAACGATTAAACACATTTGTGCATTCTTTATAAATGCAAACCGAGTCAAGCCGACTCCGGAGGTGGCGGTATGCACCTTAAAGTTGTTTGCAATCTGCTAAAAAACCGAGAGAAGAAGAAGAAGAGGAAGAAGCCGACTCCGAGCTGTCCGACTTCATGGCGAGCTTTTTGAGACCTCCCCCGGCTGCGATCGGCTATTCTCGTCTACTTTCGAGGCGAGCCGCAGCTCGTCTCAAACAAGCCTATTTTTTTATGGATTTTTTGTCAAAGCACTTAAGATATTCATTGCTATCGGGATGTTAAGAGCATTCCATGGAATATAACAAAAAGTGTATCTCGAGCAGGTTTCTCAAACTTACCTACCCCACCTTTAACTATTATTCTTAGTCAAATGAGCACATATTTGACGAGATAATGCCTTATTTGCATATTTTAAAAAACATTCTAGAAAACTTGTAGTAAAAAAAAAAGTCTTTATGAAAGAAAGGTCTTTCCCATTTGATCAGTTTGAATAATGTTTGTGTTTCCATTAACTTGAGTGTAAAGTTGAGCACAAAGCATATCACAAATAAAGCACAATATTTTTGATAGCAAAACAGAATTTATTTGCGTAATCAGACTAGAAGTGAAGAAACATTTTGTCCATTACTATTGACATTCGGAGAGAAAAGGAAAAAAAAGTGTTCAGACACAAAAAACAATTCAAAGATGGTATGGCTTTGGTTAAATCACACTCCACTAAATTGATTTGAAAAGACAACTGTTACATGATATCTTAAATAGAGTGAGAACATATTTAAGGCTCTAGTATTCCCTGAACAAGACAAAAGGCACGATATATGTTTCTGTATCTGATTACATGTATACAGTAGATGCGACTCAGATGCTGAGTCATCAACAAACCACCACTTTACAACCGACATTTTTCAGTGGACTCACAGACTAATAACATGAAAACACAACTGTGGACTATTGAACTGTAATTAGTGTACTTGCTGAAATGGCCAGTGTTATTAGACATGGTACTGAAACAATGGCACAGACAGATATAATCAGACGTTACAAGCTGATTCATAGTCATTGGAATATCACAGACAAATCCTCTCGTATTTTGCACTTCTTCAAAGTGAACATTCATCAGCTTCTCAATACAGTAATGACACCAACAATATCAAAGTATCTCTGCCTTCAGCCCTCTCCCTCTGAATGAGTGGTTAACACATGCCAGTACTGCAACATGTAGCTGCATTTGATATTTACACAAGAACTCCTCAGGAAGTACCTAGAAAGAATAACGTGAGTGTTAGATGCACCGTACACTCCCAATATCTTTGTGTGATTCCACTTCACTGCAAAGAGACAAAGGCAAGGATCTGTTTTCAGATTATTTTCTCTTTTCTTCTGTGAAAATACAAGGAATGATTTGGCAGCACAAAAACGAGAGGTTGGCTCAAACATACGTAACTCGGGGAATACTGCAGCTACTGGGGGATGGTACATTCTGAGTTTCATAATTGATGATATCAAAACAATATTCAACCAGACATGATTATCTTTGAATAAAAGGTAACTGGTGTATTGGACACTCTGAATTTAAAAACTGTTTTCAAAGTATTTGTGAAGTTCAAACTTTGTAAACTAATGATTATTTTATATGGATCAATCTTCAGATTAATTTAATAATGATTAATCTTCAGTCTATAAACTTTAAGAAAATAGTGAAAACTCTTACTGTTGCAGCTCTGGTATCCATACGAAGAAAATGTATACACGTGTTTCTTGAGTCTGTAAAATGGTATAAACCCTAGAATCCATTTCACGCATACAACAATGAACATTATTGTAAATGCTGAAGAAGCATTTCCAGTATATGGACTCATGGATTTATCCTCCTGCTCTGTCACAACATGATGGGGGGGAAAGCCTTCTACCCTCCTTTGCAGTTTAAATTGTTATGTTAATAAACAACTGCGGTTTTTCTCAATTGATATATCTCTGTTGTTTCTAAAATGACACGCTCAACCAGTGAGCAACAAGGTCCCACATGCAGAGCATCTCCACAGGGTTCAGTTTCACCATCTAACCACATACAAACTAAAATGATTTACACACAGCTATTTCCTTGTTGAAATGATCCAACACATTTCAGAGGATTAAGAAGAAAATCTTGTTGTGTGCATCTCAGTGTTGATTTATAAAAAATGTAATGTCACCTTCGTGTATCTTTTTCACACGTCCTGACCAACTCCAAACCTAGAAGAGCTTTGAAGCCGCATCGCTGTCAGTCTGAAAACCGGGACGTCTTGAAAGTATTTAAGTCTGGCAGAGAGAGTCTGCTGCTTCAACCACATGCACATTCCTAGTCCACACACACTTCCAATGTCACCCTCAGATCACAGACCACCTTCTTTGATATAAACACAATTAACCCCGCCCCCCCCCACCTGTGCTAAAGATTCTCTAGACGCTGACCTCAGCCCTGACCCATAAACGCTCGCTCTCTCTCTCTCTCTCGCCCTCTCTCTCTCTCTCTCTAACTGAACAGCTTGACGAAGCAGCCGTGGCAGTAGGGTTTGTCGTTCTGTTCTTTGAAGGTGCCTTTGTTGAGCTGCTTCAGGCAGAAGGCGCAGACAAAGTGCTCCGGGTGGAACTTCTTAGCCATGGCGGTGATGCAGCGCCCCGTGATGGGCTTCTGGCAGCCGGAGCAGAGCGAGCCGCGCCGCTCGTGGTAGTGCACTTCACAGTACGGCTGGCCGTCATGCTCGAAGAAACTGCCGTTCACAAACGGGGTGAAGCACTCCTGAGAAAGATAACAGAGGGCCGAGGAACATGCCGTTATTCACATACTATTGTTATTGTTACAGTGGAAACATCTTTTAGAAACAGGGTTTCTACAGATTAAGAAATTAGACAGTACATTTGCTCTGAGCATCCCAACAAAATATGATTCTTGATGATTCCACTATACTTTTTTATATGACGTTACTGTGAGAGGTATTCTGTAAATGAATTAACAAATAAGATGTTATTGAGTGTTTTACAATTCACACATTTCCTATTTCCCAAGTATTTCTAATACATTTTAAAGATTGACATTTCTAACAGGCCTAACAAATAAAACTGTAGGCTTTCAATGTCTAATATCATCATTTACTTATAATGTTCCCACATGTTGTCATGTATGAATGAAAACAAATGAAGTATTAGTTTAAATATCCAAACAGGTGTCTATAGGAATGATTCTGTCCACAGCTTTTTGATCCATATAAGCTCCTGTACAACGTCTTTAGAGGCACTCCAGCTAAACTCATGAAAACACACCAGAATGAGAGGAATAAAAGATACACACCCTGCAAACAAAACACTCAGGATGCCAAAGGCTGTTCAGCGCTGAGATGTAGTTCTCCAAAATGGCTCTGGCACAGCCGCCACATTTTGGTGCAAACATGTCAAAGTAGTCCTTCCTGCAAAAGGCTTTCCCGTCCTTTTCATGAAAGCCTTTAAAGGAGTAAGAGAAACAGACAACACATCTTAATCCTTTGTACTACTATTTATGTACTGTACATATAACTCCAAAAATAAAGCCCAGTACCTTCTGGGCCAAAGAAGGATCCACACTGAGCGCAGAAGAAGTGTTCGGGATGCCATGTCCTATCCAGCGCCGTCACAACTTTCTGAAAAGAGACGACAACATGTTTTGTTGGATGACTGTAATCTACAAAGAGAAATGAGCACATGTGAACACAGCAAGGACTCACATCCAGGATGGGCCCGTTGCAGTAGTGGCAGCGTGGGGAGAACAGGTTGTGGTAATCTGTCTCGCAGTACGGCAATCCTTCACGCTCAAAGAAGTTCCTGGAGCCGATCTCCTCTTGACAGTGAGTGCACACAAAGTGTTCAGGGTGCCATGTGCGCCCCATGGCGGTCACCACCTGCACCAACAGGAGAGTGGATTGTGAATTAGGGCTGAAACCAACAATACCGTTGACAATTCTAAATATTTTTTGCATGTCTATTTCTTTTAGTTTTAAACCCAATATTTCTTCACAGTTACAGATCAAGATAACTACAGACGTCATGAATATTTTCAGTATAACATTATTTGTAGAATAATATTCCAGTGATGGCTGTTTAGGATGCTCATGTAAACCAAACATTTTCCATAACTTGTAAAGTTGTTTTTAAATCCAAAAGTCACATTTATTGAGGAAATATAGAAGTAGTCATTTTCAAAATTCAACAGATATGTTACTTTAATTAAATATTCAGCTTCAATCCACTTTAAACCTTTCAAAACTGTGTTTTAACTGGGGTCCAAAAACAGTTTGCTCTCTCATATGCTACACACAAAGGGTGTCTATTTCATCTATTTGAAAGGGACGTCCAGGAGCAATATTATATTATATATCATTTTTATAACCACAAAACACCTTTATCCTCCCACATTTAATTTAGGCTGAAAAATATGATGACAGATATTATAAGCTTTATTTCAAAACCTTAATAGAAGCTTCTGGACAGCCCGAATATGCAAACTCTAAACATGTTTATACAAATAACTTATTTGTATTACAGATGTATTATTTGTCAAATCTAAACCGCATCTTACCTGTCCCACGATTGGCTTGCAGCAGGCTCCGCAGACCCCTTTAGCCACCGTCTGCACGCCCAGTTTGTTGAGGTCCGACTGCAGGCTGCCCAGCATGTTGTCCAGCTTGTTGACCTGCGTCGGAGGACCACCAGGAACACCACCCTTCCCCTGGGCCATAATCTGAAACGGTTCAATTATGAAGACTGATACACACAGGAACATCACTAAAATATGTTTGAGGTAACTACGGTTAAACAGTTCAAAAGTGGAAATAAGAAGAAGGGGTAAGAGAGGGGGGTTCATGCCTGCATTGGAGGGAAGATTGGGTCATACTCAGTTTGGCAGCCTACTGACACCAGTACTCTGGGTGGAATCGGTGTGACCGGCTTCACAGGTGAAGGGGGGGGTGGGCTTTTAATAACACGTGGAGGGGGCTCTGGTTTGGGAGCAGGAGGTTCCCGAATTGGGGCTGGTGGAGGTGGGGCTTTTATAGGAACTGGTTCGCGGAGATGGGGAGGAGGTGGAGGGAGTGGTGGAGGGATGGGGAAAGGCGGCTGGTGTACTATGAATGGTCGCTTGGGTTCTTCTATGATAGGAGGGCGGCGGGGGGCAGGGGGGGAGGGAGGGGGGAGCACCTTCCTCACAGGGACAGGCGACTCTAGGTGAACTATGATCTGAGAAAAGAGTAGAGAAAAACAGAGAAGGAGGGAACACAGAGAGCAAAGTGTGTAGAAAACTAAAAGGTGAATTCATTGTGAAATATTTGCGGTTCGGCACACTGAAGCCAACCTTGTCCACCTCGCTGCCCGCCCCCTCGGGACGGAAACGCTGAGGTTTGGACGATACGATGACGCCATCCGTCATCCACTCGTCGGACTGTTTACGCCGGCGCTCTGAGCGACCAATACCAAACTTTCCCTGAAGCTCCTCGATGAGGCGGTCCTGAGAAGTGCTCTTGTTTACAATGACGGGTCCCATCTTCCTGCGCAGGTGACCGTCTCGGAACATGGGGTGGACGTTGGGAGTCTCCTTAGTGCGCCTAATCACTGACTTTATCTGGGAGGGAATGGTGAGCACTTTACCAAAACGTCCACACCAAACATGAAGCAGCTACAGCAGAGCTCTGAGGCAGCGGGTGAGTCAAATGCTGATTTAAATCCCTGATAGGCCGGGATGCTGTGGTCAGTGAGCTCAAGAGTCACACTTCATGCACCTCTTGCATGCCTTCAACAATAAAAAAAGCCCTTACTGATCAAATCTTTTCCAGCCTTTGTAGTCACTCAAACAACCACAGCAGGGCGTGTTAGGTCCTTCACACACATCTGGTGCAACAGTGTCATGCTGAGTAGTGCTGTACTGTCAATCAGTGGGTTATTTATAAGTGCAGTTTCAAAGCAAAAACTGTCACTACACAGAGGGTCTTCTGAGCTAGCTTGTACTCCATCAGCTTTGTTTTGACTATCAATATTCATATATATCATTTCCTTCCTTTTTTGCAAAGCTCAAACATGATACGGTTTCTGCCCAGATCAATGTTTATCTAATGCTATTGATGATGCTCAATAGTAAGGCGAAAGTTTTTTTTGAATCAATCAATTATCTATGAAAATAAAATCGAAACTAAGAGTAAACAATGGAAGCCGGATACGATTTTTTATTAGTTATTTTTTGCTATACTCCAGAACTTAATAATAATCCATTATTGAAATATGATATAATATTGCATAACAATTCCCTTCTCTGTGTAAAAAGGACACGTAGATAAATATTGTGGATCATGTTTCAGCTTTTCAAAAAGAAGAACCCTTGAAGCAGGGGGAGCTTCACACTCTAAAGCAAAAACAATGTGAGCAAAACAAGCCCATGTGGTGTCAGGCAGGAGTGGAGATGCATACATGTCCGGAAGCAGACACTCTGTCTATAGTGGGCGTCTGCATGAGGGGCAGGTCCAGGGCCACGTCGGGGGTCCCGGGGCATGTAGACGGGGTCATGGAGCCATCCATCCAGCTGGCCTCTGTCAGCGGGGTCATGCTGCCATCTGTGTACGGCCTCTCGGTGAAAGGCGTCATGGTGCCGTCCAGCCCGTCGTGGAAGGACATGGAAAACTCCTCATCCGCCCAATCCAGATCTCCATCCCCGTTAGTGCCTCCGTCCAAAGAGCCGTCTGTGATGGTGTTGGTGGCGCTGGTGAAAGTCTCAGGCTGCACGCTGTTCCTGTCCAAGGGCAGGATGAGCTCCTCCTGCACCTCGAGACACTGTGCGTCCATCTTTAGCTCCTCCACCTGTGAGTTATTCTGTGCAAAACTCATGGCTAGCAGCTTGTCCAGTGCCTCGTCCAGGGAGGGCTCCCCCATCGAGGGGGGCTGTGCAGGGAAGGGGCTGCTGGGGCTTTTGAAGGCTGGTGGAGAAGGGGCCTTATATTGAGAAACTGGAGATGGCGAGGATGTTTTTGAGTAAGCATGTGCAGCGACTGGGATGGGTGAAGGAGTCTTTTGAGCTGAGGGAGAAGGGGTGAAGCTTTTGACAGGAGGTGGAGTGGAGAAATTCAAAACGATATCTTGAAATGAAGGACCCTCCTTGCTCGTAGGCGCAGGAGAAGAAGGGAATTGACCGACAGTATTTGAGGGCGAGACCCGCTCTACAGATGGACTGGGGGACTTGGAGGACTTGTGGTCCAGGACAGTGTTAACAGAGGTAAGGGAAGGGGTGGTGGTGGTGTTGGAAGGACTTGGGCTATTTCTCATAAGGTTGGAGTTAGAGGAAGGGGCCTGAGAGAGGACTAGCAGGGACATGGTTTGGGAGGACAGCATGGAGGCAGAGACGTCTATGATAGAGTCCTGGTCTAAGTCACTGGCTGCAGAAAGAGAGGATATAGGACTGTGGCGACAGAAACGATTTATCGACATGCCACCGTCTCCTCCGTCCTCGTCTATGTGCAGCTCAAAACCAGCAGGTGAAGAGAAAAGAGGAGAGGCACAGGTAGACGGGTGGGACAGGCTAGGAAAAGGAGAAGCCACTGGGGTGACGGAGGAAGAAACTGGAGGATGAGGAGAGGTGGAAGAAGCTGGATCCAGCAGAGAGCCCAAAGAACTGGGCTGAAGGACAGAGAAGCAGAACAAAGGTAAGAGGGAGAGGACAGGAGAAGTGTTTGTTGATAAGGTGTTCACTCATGCGGCTTTGTACCTTAAAGTCAGACAGAGAAGCCATCAGCTCGTCTAGCTCTCTTGTTGCACAGGAAGCTGAAATTCTGGCTTGCTGCTGAGAGGGTGTGTCCAAATCACTGTGGCGGGCAGAGCAACTGTAAAATACAAATTATGATGATTTGTAAACACATCAAAACAACAAAGCCTTAGTAAAAGCAGCACTCAAAATATCTATTGTCGAAGATTAGAATCAGACTCAGGTTTGTTTGCCTTTGGTGCATGCAATACATAATCAACGTATTAAGAGGAAAAACAAACACTGGCTAAGTATTGCAGAAAGACAAGAACTGAGAAGTGAAATGACTGTTTTGGTTAAAGGAGTCTGGTGCATGTGTGGATATAATGTTAGAAAAGGGCTGCCGGCAAGCTAAAGCGGTGTACACTTTCTAAATATAGTGTACACCTAACTGAGATTGACTTTTTTAGGGGGCTGAAAAATGTTTTGGTGCTGCCCCGGTCCACAGAAGGACATTGCTTAACTCCTCTGCAGTAACTCCAACTGCCATCTGCTCTAGGTATTACACGGACTCATATAACCTCACTTCAAAACATAATAACTTTCCCTTTCTACAGCTTTCATAAAGGGATGTTCCGGTCCAATCTCAAAGATTGGTCGCCGCGCCCATAAAAGTATTTTTCCAACCGATTGATATGGCCTATAAAGAGCCAGAACCGATCCTTTGTTTTTGTCTTCAACTTCCAAGCAAAGCTTTCATGCACAGCAACTGAAGGAATGCAGATTGATTTTGATACAAAACATTAATGTAGTTGCACTATGCATCTGTATCATAAGAAGTATCGGATCAGGACTCGAGACATCCCTACTTTTATATAAACACATGCTAAGTTAGGGCCCATGTCCACATATTGTCTCTTTTTCCAGCACCAGCATATTTTTCCAAATGTTTCCAATCAGGAGTGAGCGCATTGTAAACAGAACAGCCCGTTTGTTGGGCCAGATCGACACTGGATGTTGCTGCCAATGTGACTTTTATCTCCGTATGTTGATCGTCCTCCTCCCTTGCTTTACAGCTTTCAGACTGAGCAGTGAAGCTCATTCATACAAAGTCTCAGAGCAAACGTGTTTCTCATGGTGAAAAAACAATGTCAAACAAATATATAGTAGCACAAACAGATGATCAAATCCAGGGGGGCAATGCTAGTCCTTCTTACAACTACTGTCACAGTTTGACGAGATATTGGTTTCAATTTTTGGTGTGAACGCGACATAAGGGGTACTCACGGAACTAAACGCGAAAAGTACGGTGAAAAGTACTCCGGTGTGAACGCGGCTATAGAAACAATAAAAAAAGTGCCCAAAGGTCTTCTTCATGAAACGCTGGAAGGAGGCTCTATCCAGCTCCTTTCTGCCAGATGAAGGCGCTCTGTGGACTCAGGCCCTAAGAGTGAAGAGTGTACCTGGGTGAAGGCACTGAGCCCTCCAGCTCGTCCAGCAGACTCTCCATGCTGGGTCGGGCCTCCTCCAGCCTCGTGCCGTTCCTCTTGGGTTTCTCCTGAAGGGGAGGGCTCACCCTGATGTCAGGGGCGCCGCCGTTCTCGTAGTGCGTGATGCTGCAGGACGGTAAGGGTGGAGCGGCCTCTTCTGTGGACACATGACAGTACAATTAATCCTGCTCACTACAAACAGAAGTGATAAAGCCGAGGGTGTCTGTGTTTACCTGTAGTGGGGAATGAAGGGGAGCTCTGTTGCACCGCGTTGAGTTCCAGCAGCAGCCTGTCGAGCTCGGACAGGTTACTGCCCATGGCAGAGGTCATGGCTGCTGTCGACGAGTCCGAGGACTTCTGTTTGTTTGGAAAACTAAGGAGGAGACAGACAGAAACAACTTTTTATGGTAGCTACAGCTGAAAGAAAATGACAGAGGATACACACAATTCTATACACAAAAGTATTCAAGCGTGCAAATGTTACCTGTACACGTGGTCCTCTTCAATGTGAGACAATGAAGGGCTGCTGCTGTCCCTGGACCAGCTCTTCTGGGCTGAACCTAATGACTGCAGAGGACACATCTGTCATACAGACTGACAAACGAGCTGTTAACGGTGTAAACTGAACATCCTGGCTGCGTTTTGTGCCTGTCAAATGTACAAGCATTCAATGGTTCGTTCTCACTTGATTCATCAACTTCAACACCAACCTGATTATCGGTTTTAAAAGTGGCCAGCGATGTTTTCAAACCATAAGGTCAGACTTCGGCAAAGAAAATTGCATCTTTTATATAGCAGATAAAAATCATACTCCTTTTTACTACATTTTCCCCACATCTACAAAATCTTATCTTGTGTTATGTCACTTCCTCTTGTGCTTGTTAAGCCCTTCACTTTAAACAATCCTGTTTGTTAAAAAACTTCATGTAGAAAGATAGTTTCTACTATAGAGACCTACATGCTGAGAGGAGTGGGGGGAGTCCTGCTGATCGGTCAGGGACCCGTTCAGAGCCTCGGCTGAGGGTGGCGGAGGGACTGGAGGTGGAACAGACACATCCTGGTAGGAGTGTCCTCCGGTGGGGATGGAGTAGGGGGTCTCCTCAGGAAAGAACACCGGACGCTTTGCGATGTGAGACGTAGTGGATTCCAGGTCCGCCAGCAACGCGTCTGAAAGATTAGAAAGGTACAATGTTTGTTGCAAGGTGTGCTTACAACTAGGAGAAATAACGTACCACGAAAATATATAACACATTAGGTCCCAATTACCATGGCTGGTCAAATAACTACGCATACTTGTATTTCTTAATTTCATTTATAAAGCAAAATCACAAACACAGTCTTCATGGTATTGGAGCTTGCCAGAGGAAAACTATCCTGAACTGTTTGTGACATACTTCAACCTGCGAACATGGTTGTGCTGGAGACCAATTCATTCTTTATTGGGGTTGTTGGAAGCTCTGAGGCGACTACCGACTGTGGTGTTGGCTGTAAAATGACAATGGCAGCCTGTCTGAGTCAATCTCTCATTCCAACTTGTCTCTAAAAAAAGCTTTTCCTCAGCAACGATCGTTCAACAGAAAGGTTAGGACCTGTCACCATCACAGCATGGCACACTGCATCACCGAGCCAAACTTCATACATGAACACATTAGGATTCATGAAATATCCCTCTGAAATCCCCAACATACTTTTACCATCAGTACACACTCAAAATACGACCCTGCTGACAGTGAGAGCTCCCTGTCTGTGAGCTTCATCTGTCATTTCTAAATCTTATACCTGTGTAAATTATTTAGGACTCAACAAGAACATTAATTTAATGTTGGTTCAGAAAAAAACATTAACTGTTTCTCTGAACTGTAAAAATGGGCAATGTACAAGCAGAATGTTTACAAGTACAAGCAAAACATTACAGAAGGTAAAATGGACAATTAGCTTTAGACTTTGTCGTTATTTGATAACCACCAATCAAATAAAAAAATGGTTTATAGGGGCAAGTAAAAAAAATTAAACATTAACATCATTGACCCGCGAAGAATTTCTTTAAATAGTCCCATGAGAATCAGTGTGAACTTAACAAGAGAGTCTGATAAGAACAAAAAGTGACAGAGAGCATTTCTGAATCTAGGCCTGGGTTTGGGGGGGGGGGGGATATGAAGCAAAATAGAATCTTACATCACACTATCCATCCATCCTCAACCCGTCCAGAATAGACCGCAATCGCCCGCCTGCATACTGTTACACTACAGAGGCTTGGCACAGATACAGTCCGTTTCATGAGATCACTGCACTTTGAAACTTAGAACAGCAGAGATTCAGGCTCTAAAGAAGTAACCAGATGGTTGCTCAGATCTATTAACAGGCTGCTAAAATATCAATTAGTAAAAAATGGTTGCCTTACATTTTAAATCTGATTAATGTGTAAAAAAACGTAGGAATTATTTCAAAAGACAATATGAATCTGCAAAGAGAATACATGTAATTCTTGAGGTTTCGAAACATATAAATACAAAAATAATAGAAGTGGGACTTTGGTGAAGAGAGGATGGAATCCCACTGTAAATCAGTAGCTAAGAGCCTAAGCTGATAATCAGTTAGAGACATGGATCAAGTCTAACTTCACACCAGTGAAAGCTCATGAAGCAGTTTGCTCATTGATTATTGAAACTGGCAGACACTACCTTCACAATAAGGTAACCATAAAAAAAAAATATCAGTATATCTGGATAATTAAGTGACACTCTCAGGCTTACGATAGACTGGATACATCATGTAAACATAAAAACATCACAAGAATAAAGCAAATCCCAGTTATCCAGGGCAAAAAATTAAAGCTATTTTTTGTACTCACATTAGTGCTTCGTATCTGTAATATCTTCCAAACAGAATATATGTGTGTGTGTGTGTGTGTATGTGTGTGAAGCAGACAGCAGCACAGACAAAGATGGTGTGAGCAACAGTGTGACAGCATGTTGCCAGTCTACTGGGGGGAGTGGTTTCAGAGCCAAAATTGGGTGACAGTACATTTGAGTGCTGCAGGGATGACGTATTGTTATAGGCCAACCTAGGAGTTAGCTTAGCGCCTGTGCTAGATAACCCAATGGGATTTTTTCCTTTGATATTGGAGAGTTGCAGAGAATAAGCTCTGTGGCAAACAAACTTCAACGATATTTAAATAGTTTTTATTCATTCAGCGTAGGTTATAAAGATCTATACTACTGTGGCGTGATGTTAACGTCACCACAGCAGGCTTAAGGGGGACTGGCATTCGGTGTGTAATGTCATCTCATTTAGCCACTTTGCTTGAAAATTCACATGTGGGATATTCATTTACCAACATGTGTTATGTCGTAGAACAAAGGTGACAATCTTGTGTTGACCAAAGACCTTATTTCAGGCATCTAACCAAAAGGTGCAAATACGCAAACTTATTTCCAGGTTTTATATGTTTGGTATCTTCGCAGTGCACCTCTTATAAACACTGAAAAACTGCCAGATAAAATAACTCTCACCCTCAAATATGCATTTATAAATAAATAAATAGGGCCTACAGGATTGTAACTTTATATTAAGTTAGACTTATGTCTTGTGTTAAATTGGCTCTAAATGGGAACACAATTGCAACCTAATATATGTTCAAATCAGATGAGCTGGGATAAGGTTACAAGTAAAGTGTGATAAACTGGAGACTCTCATTAGTCTCTCCTACCACTCTTCATCCAAGTCAACAGTCTGCAAAACGAGACCCTGACCGTGAAGCTAAATGTTTAAGTCATGAAGTTTGACATAAACCACATGGGAGCACACAAGCCTATTTAAAGCGGTAAGCTCAGCGAGTTGC